GGCCAAAGACTGAGCAAATCAAAATAAGCTACTGGTTACAAATACCTCTTGTTAAAACAAATGGAAAAGGACATTTACTCTTCTTTAAGTCTCTTTTGTAGCTCATCTTTTGAAAGTTTACTTTCAGCAGTATTTTTCATCATATCTTTCTGCAAACGATTGTTCATCATGTCAACCCTATAAAAAACAGAACAGCATGCTTTAAGTGACTTTTAAAGATTCAACATAAAAGTTGTTGCCTTTAGTATTTTCAGCAAACAACATAGGTCAAGATTTGTAATATGTGGAACATCTCAATGCATCGTCTCCATTCTTCCCCAAGCTAAAAAGAATCTCCAGTATTTCAGATCATCTAGTGTACCCTTTGAAGAGTTAATATTTCAAATTCAGAATGATTTCTCTAGACACAGCTTATGCCATTCACCAAGATAAATTCCAAGTAAATCAGAGTTAAAAATACTTTAAAAAAAACTTTAAAAAATGATTAAAGAAAAATATAGGCAAATACCTCTCTCTGAAGAACTTATTACTGTTAAAAACAACAGCAAAAGAAAAGATTCACAAATTTCACTATATAAACACTTAAATATTCTGTGTGTCAGACAACATCAAATTAAAAGGCAAACAAAAAGCTGGGAGAAAATGTGCAATAAATGCGACATACAAAGGTTTGAAATTCTCAAAACATAAGGCACTGATGTACTAAAATCATTAACAAATAGTCTTATCCCGCCATTTGAAACAACATGGATGAACCTGGAGAATATTATGCTAAGTGAAATAAAACAGACATGGAAGGAAAATACTGCATGATCTCACTTACATACGGAATCTGAAAAAAGTAGAGTATAGAGAAGCAAAGAGCAGAATGATGGTTGGAGGGGTGAGGAGGTGGAGGAAATAGGGAGCTGTTGGTCAAACGGTATAAAGTTGCAGGTACGTAGGATAGAGAGCTAATGTACAGCGTGCCTGTACTTAACAATACTGAATTGTATACTCGAAATTCGTTAAGGTAGCAGATTTCAGGTGTTCTCACCACAAATAAAAATAGTAACTGGAAAAAAAAATGAAATACTAATTAGCTTGACTACTGTAACAATGTTCTACCTCTATGTATAGCAAATCATCATAGTCTACACCTTAAATATACACAATTTTCATTTTAAAAATAAAAAATCAAACTGAAACAGTCTCCAGTAGATAAATAAATAAATACATCATAGAAAACACTTCTAAGAAATACCAATGACTAACAAAAAAATATTTTCTCAACAAAAATTAAGTAGATATTTCCCACCCATTAAACTGACAAAGTCTGAAAAAAGGTAAATCTTTACTTTTTAAAATGAAGTGAATGGACACCTTTCCTTGGGAAGGTAAACTGGTAAAACCTCAGGGTCAACCTGGCTGTCTTTACCAAGAACCTTAAAATTGTCTGCTCTTTGAGTAACTCTACCTCAAAGAAACTTTCTTAATAATTTAAGGAATGGGGAAAAGTTTATGCATAAAGATGCTCAATATCAACTTACTAAAAAGAAAAATAAAATGCTCGCAATACAATAAATTCTCATCTATTAAAGTACACACTGTGCACGATGGTTTTTTTTTAGCCTTTTCTCAATTTCAGACACTGCATTAAGAGCTCTACATATACTTATATTTCATTTAATCCTGAGATCCTTGATATAGCTATTATATTTCCATTTTACAAACAAGAAAATGTAGGTTCTAAACTTGCCCAGGATCTAGGAACTAGCCAAATTAGGTGGCAAACTCTCATCTGACCCCAAACACTGTGCTCATAGCTTTTCTATATGGTGTAGGAGAGAGATGTATGCCAACATGTTAACAATGGTTGGGACTATGAATAACTTTTCCAGTATTCTTCAAATCATCACATAATCATATATTCAAAAAAAGAATTTTCTTAAAACTGCAAAATCAGTTTTAAAGTATCCGGAGAGATTCCAAGAAAAAACTTAGGCAACCTACATCTCCTCATCTTCATCTTCTTCATCCAGCCAAACTGGCTTCTTTTGAGGTGGAAAATCATCTTTTGCTTCATTCTCCACTTCTGAGTCACCTGAGTCTGCCTGTACCTGAACCTAGGGAAGACAAAATGCCCACAGCACTGAGTTTCTCATACCCTGTGGTGGCAGACACTCACACCTTGTAGTTACTATACAGCTTGCAGCATGCTTTGTTTTCATGGCCCTCTGAGGAAACAATGGGATTCAATGCTACCACAGCAAATGCTGGAAACAGAAAAGAAAAGGAGATTAAAGAACGGCACTGCATGCTGGACAGGGAAGGGAAGATGGAACTGCCAAGAAGAGAAAGTCAACTTGCTGAAAAGACAAGACCAAGTAAGACAAGAACAGCAAAAGGTAAGCTGATGGGGGGTGGGGGGGGCAGGAAAAATCACAGAACTACAGAAATCATGGGACCAGAGACAGACTTGTATCAAATACAAAATAACATGACTGTCATAATTAAATCCTATTTCATATTCTTAGAATATCTCTTCCCCACTTTTCTAAACTGTTCTTGACCCCCTACCCCCTTAAGAAACTACACAATCAAAACTGAATCCAGACCACAGAATACCCCCTGACTGAACCGGACCTTGAGTCAAGTCAACTTAAACTTTCCCAAAACTATACAACAGAAATGTCCAAATGATTTCTATTTGCTCCACTACTGGCCTATGAGCCCAACAAACCCCACCTCACTTAGACTGGCTCTTTTCCTGACTAGGAAACTTGTCACACGGTTCAGCGTTTTCCCAGTCGTATTTCTCTATCTCCCAGCTAGATTCTGTAACCTCTCCCAGAAGCACCCAAAGGTGGTCTGGCAATCAAATGATACTTGTTAGGTCCACAGTTATTTACCAAACCGAGTATTCTCAGTAAGCCTATGCTTGCAACCCTATGAAAAATTTCACAGGCCATACCTCTACACACACTTATCTCCCTTTCTCAAATGCCTTTATTTTTTTTCTCTTCAGCCCTTCACTAACAAACTTGAACTTTATCTTCTGCCTCTGCTATTAGAACATAACCTCCAAAAAGGCAGGGATTTTTTTCAGTTTTCATCCATTGCTGTTTCTTCTCCAGTGCCTAGAACAATGCCTGGGACTCCCCATCGTGGAAGAAAATCCAAGCATGAGATAAAAAAGGAAGAAAAAAAGGGGAGCAAAACATTATAATCAATCACGCAGGGATTTCATTGCCAGGAATGAAATCTGGCACTAAGAAGGCTCACAAACATTTGTTGAACAGTCGTTCTAAAAAGCTAGCCAGTCAACTACTCTGAGAGGCTGTTAAAACACAAGACTCCCAGGCCCGTGCCCTCGAATTCTGATTCCACAAACCAAGTGGAACCCCTGAATCACGACAAGGTATTGAGGTAGGCAATGGAACGACGAAAAGGGAAGAAACACTGAGCCTGGGGAGAAGATTGTGAGGCTGAGCCACGAAAAGATGCTCACAACTATATTTCGGTAAATAAATGCATTGAGCGCCTGCTGCATACGAGGCTTAGCCGCTCCCTCGGGGGCGGAGAAAGGCGCGGCCTCAGCCCTCCGGAGACTTTCCACCTGGCACGCCACGAGCCCGCGTTCCCGGCTCCCGCCCACCTGAGGGCTCCGCGGCGCCGCAGGTCGCCCAGGCGCCGGCCCGGAGGCTCTCCGCCCACCGGGCGCCCAGCCTGCGCGCCGCGACCTCCCTCACCCGTCTCTCCTCCGCCGCCGCCGCGACTGCCATCGCAGTGGCCGCTGCCTGCGGCAGGGCCGGCGGTTTCCGCTGGGACGAAAATGCAGACTTTCAGACCGGCCCGCCCGGCCAGACTCCGGCTCTCCGGTCTGGCTTCATTCGGGTCTCGCGGGCCGGTGTTGCTTCCGCTGTCCAGTCAGCTCTCATTCAGCTCCTCCGTTCCCGCGGCATCTCTCAGTTTGAGAAGGAACGCAGGCGCTCACGGGGAACCTCACTGCGCGTGCGCAGCGCAGCTGAGGCGGACGGGCCACAGCCATTACCCGCCTGAGCTGCGAGGCTGGGAGGAAGCGTTCCAGAGCTCGGGGAACGGAGGGGCCGCACGCGCGCCGCGCCCCGCCTGCCTCCGCGCGGGAGGGTGGAGAGGGGAAGGGTCGGCCCGTGTTGCCTCGGTGCTGTGGGTCCAGTGATGTCCGCCTCGCGCGCGCCGGGGCGCGAGGC